TGTCTTTTTTTTTTTATGTTTCCAGCATTAATATGCGCACATCCAATGCATGAGGCTTCCTTCCAATTTCACGTTTGTGGAGAGTTTGATGCGCACAAGCTTAAGTATGTTGCTTTCTAATAGCATTATCTTGTTAATTTAAAAAGAAGCTTAAAGACTATCGCAGTGCTGAAGGAGAAGAGACTTAAACATGCATGTAATCACCTTGCTCGCCTCCATATAAACCATGACTCAATCTGAATGGAACAAAACAAATGCAAAACACTTCATTCCAAAACTCATTAACTACAAATGTAGTCGCCCAATCTTTTTGTATATCTCCAATAACTAGTGACACATTTGAAATATGAACACTAAAATGCAAGACAAGTAATTAACGATTCTATCTACTTCTCAAAAGTTCCTTACAGGCTTCTCTATTTACTCTTTTCTAAAGTGAAGAAAATAGCTCTTTCAGGATTTTTGCAAATTAGATACACTAAAATTTTATATGAAAAAGATAGTTCTATTTATACATTCTATAGTTAAAGAAACCTCAAGAAAGGAAAAAAAAAAGCTATATCAATGAAAGGAATAGGAGATCAAAATGTAAATTCATTCAAAGTCTATAGTAACTCTTGCCACGATTTTCTTTTTGAGTTTGTTAACCTCCATTTTCGCCTATTTATCTTCGAGCGTGTTTGATTAAGCTAATTGAACCTCGCCTAGGATAATTCAATTCAAATCAATGTTGATTTGGGATTCGATTGTGTCGACTCAATTTAAATTTTCTTAGATTAAAAATGATAAGACTCAATCGAACTCAAATTGACTCAGAGTTAAGTCGAATTATACTTGATTGTGTTCAATTAAGTCGGATTAGTTCATTTTAGCCGCATCGAGTTTGATTTGATTAGAGTCATCGTTTTATTTAAATTTAATTTTGTTAATTTGATCAAATCAAATTGAACCAAGATTGACCCTATTTGACCCAAATCATGTTCAATTCAAGTCCAATTTTGACCCAATCAGCTCATTTCAGTGCTAATTAAAATCCAAATGGCTTTCCAAACAATTAAAATCTCCATCAAAATCAGGAAATTGAACCCGACGGCCCCGATTTTGCCAAGGCCCGGGACCTGTCGCAGCCACAGTGCTTCAGTCGGGTGAGCTGCTCACTTCAGGAGGGATGCAGACCTCTTTTCACAGAGATCGAGCACGACAAAGCCTTATTTGGTGTATGGAGATGGGATCGAGAAGGCGAAGCAGCGAATTTGTCTCTGAGGTTCGCAACTCTCCCAGGATGACCCTTTGGTTTCCGCCTCCATTCGGGAAGATGAGCCCTATTTCCTCTCTACCATTCGAATATCTTCCCCATTCACACACTCTCACTCCCTCGCCAGACTCCTAGCATCACACCCCACTCCCTCTCGATCGTCTGACTCCAGGAGTTCGCTCTCCCTCTTGACCTCTCTCTTGGATTCGCACAAGCCAGGGCTTCCGCACCCTCTCCCCCTCTCTCCATCTCCTTTGGATCGCACAAGACCCAACGCCCCATCCCCCTCTTCCTCTTCGGGCGACCCAGCCGAGGCCAAAGCTTTGCTCACGTCCGACTCCACCTCTAGGTCTGAACTCGACGCCGGCTTTCTCCTTCCTCTCTATAGGTAATCCTTTTCTTCTCCTTCTTTTTCTTTCCTTTGTTCACTAATTTCTTTCTATTTCTCTCATTTCCCTCCCACCTTATCTCCTTCTTCATTTCCTTTCACCTTCTTCTCCTCCATCTTCTCTGATTTCTTCCATTTCCTTTTCTACCTCTCTTTCCATTTCCATTTCTCATGCCTGTTCATTGATTTTGAAGCTAAGTTGTCGTGTTCAGTTCAGTTTCGCATGATCATTTATGAAATTGATTTCAAGCATGTTTCTGTGATCCTTTTGAGAGATATGTGTCTTTTTTCTTACTTTTTGTTGCCTTAGCTCTGGTTATGTTCACTCGGGTTATTAAGTTGATGAAACCTTAGATGTTTATTATTGTTGTGTTCATCTGATTTTGGATGGTATATTGAGGCTTGAAAAAGAAACATTATCTGCTTAGATTGGTTAATTTCGGTTCATACTCTTACCATAATGGATTGAAGTATTGAGATGGAATGAGTGATATTTGCAATGATTTGTAGAGGTACTAATCGAAATATTCTTGCATGATGATATGTACAAGTTGTATGAACTATTTTTTTCAGGTTGTGAGTAAGTTCGTATTGGTTAACCTAATGCTCATTAGAAAAAACTACATGTGATGTTGTGTGGTCTATTCCTTTTTTATTTAACATTTGAGCGAATAACATGTTCATTTGAGAAAACAAATGAAGTTAGATTGTTGTGTATGCGACGATTTCAAGTCTAAGTTATGTTATATAGTATATATTATAATATATATATATACTATATATATAATATATAATACTATATTATAATATTAATATATATATACTATATATATTTATATACTACTTATATATATATATATATATATATATATATGATATATAGTAATATATATAATACTATATAATAATATATAATATATATACCTTTGTAGAGATGACATGGGGTGGGATTGATTTTGTATAATGCGGTGTCCGTCAATTAAAAAGAAATAATATGTC